CCGTTTTTATTGAAAACCTAAACGATGCCTCTTGATTGATTCGGTACCTTGTCATTGATGAGCAGCTCAGTGGGCGTGTGCAGGCCTTGGAGCAGCACCAGTTCATTGGGTTGCTCGGAAACGGCGTAGGAGACGGGTGTTCCGATGCCTCCTTCTGTGGGCCGAAGCCAAAGGCAAAAGGTGAAGGCCCATAACTTTGGGATGGAGTGTTTCACCACCGCGTACATGTAATTAGTACGGGATGGAAAAGACAGTCTGTAGCCCTCCGGAAAGTAATTCGCTAAAACAGACAAGAACAAAAAAAAAAAAAAGATTGAGATACAGTCATTATTGATAAGAATCAGAGATCTCAAAGACAGCATCTGCAAAAGTAGCAAAATGGATAAAATATTTCTTTTTTTTTCATATTAAACATCTGTCCTGTTTTTCTCTGAGATGACATTCGATAGTCTTCCTGATCTTTTTATGCCTGACATAATTTATTTACAGCAAAGGATGTTAAAAGCTTGCTGAAACTAACACGATAACTTCATCTGACATACGCATGCAAATGCATTCTGGATTAACTGCTTTCTATTGACCTCTCTGTTCATATTTACCTTCCTCCAGTCCTGAGAGTCGGTCATGTAGCTTGTTGATTCCCTGGTCCATTTCCTGTCGGTTTCTTTCGGTTTCCAGCCTCAAGGCTTTTCTCTCTTTCTCCAACAGCTCCACCTTCCTTTCAAGCTCCCCTTCCAAGTCCTCCATTTTCCAGGGCCTTTCCGCACCCGCTTTGTGCCCAACCCAACTTTCTGGGCCAAAGGATTTCCCGCCGTCCTGCACGACTGCAGAGGTGTTGATGTCCGTCTGGGTGTGAGGAAACAGATTGATGTCGGCCTGCAGAGGAGGAAGACAAAGGTACACTTTTGAATGAAAAAAAAATTTTCATCCGGCTCGCATTGTCACATGAAGTGTGTCAGGTTAGCGTGAATAGCATGACACCATGTACTGGAATACCAAAAAAATATGGAAGTACAGTTCATTTCGGTTTGCCACAATTTAGTTCAATGAACCAAATTGATCGCCTATTCATTTCCACATCGTTGTGTGTAGCGGGATGGCGCAACATGTAGAAAGGGATATCATGCGATTGGTAACCTAATGAAAGGGGGCTAAAAATGGTGATGCATTACAACACGTTGCTAAACTAACAGTGCAAGATTTTTTTTATTTTTTATTTTTTTTGTGGCCTTCTTGACTTTCACGCTCTAGCAATGCCCTTTTGAATGACACCCTAGGCATGGTGTTTATAGTTTTCCTAACCAGTGTACACTTTGCTTACTGTACATGTGTTGCATAAGATGATACGAATAAAGGTCGAGCTATAGAAACATTGATTCAGTTCCCAAAGGGACAAGCATTATGTAAGAAGCGGTGCCTCTGGAATTGATGCGAGTGAACACACCATGCTCTGGTTTAAGAGGATGCACAATTCACACGAGTGTTTTTTTTTTTTGTTCTTTTTTTCTGAGGATACTGACAAAATGTCGCTAACTGATTTTGCAGCAAAAGCAGATACGTACACAATTGTTATAAATCCCAGTGTAATTTTTTTTTTTTTTTTGTTCTTTTTTCTGAGGATACTGACAAAATGTCACTTACTGATTTTGCAACAAAAGCAGATACACAATTGTTATAAATCCCAGTGTAATCTTTAGTCGTTATGCACCGCTGCGTGCCTCTCATTGAAGCCAGCAGTGTTTTCACCAGGAGAAAACACACACACACACACACACACACACACACACACACACACACACACACACACACACACACCCGAGTGTTTGAGTGACCAGGCCCGGGTGAAAACCCACTTCTCGCCCAAAGTAAGCTAGGATAGGCTCCATGCAGCTCATCTGTGACCCTAATGAGGATAAGCAGTATAGAAAACAAAACATGAATATTGCAGTGATGGACATTCTTATCACACGTCGTCTTATGGGTCTTTGGATGCTTAAGAATCTGTTCTCCAATATTTCATTTCGATCACTTAGCCCGAGGTTGAGCTTGAGGCAGGTATTTGTTTACGCGTGGAGAGTTTTCTGGAGGGAAAAGAAATCATTATACTTACATCTTCACATCGGAGACATAAATGCATGAATGTGTAAGCACTAAATGCTCTTCGGTGCGTGTATGGAGCACAGATCATTACGGAGCCGCAGTTTCATGAATGCCCCAAACAAAATCTTGTGCATACTAAATACAATTGTCCTGAAAAATAAGAACCAACTGCCTTAAAATATGTTTGTTAAGTATTGCTGTTTTTTCGCATATCAGCGAACTAATCCACTCGGATTGTCCGTGATGCAAATTGCCTACGATCTACACAATCTGTTGTCGACTCCACTGCGCCGCTAGACCGAGCACCTACTGATGGAAACGTGACTAGGCTGTTGAGTGAAACATACAGGTGATGGCTCCGCAAGAAAACAGTGCAGCATTATAACACATGACTCTGTAGCATTTAAAAGAGGGGGGAAAAATCACATTTTAGTTTAGCTCGACATAACATGGAACCATGGTTTGTATTCTGCTAAATAAAACGGAGACTCTTGAGGGGGGATGGAATTGTATGAGGGGTTTGTACCCTACAACTAGGCAACTCATCCATTATGTATGATATTGCTTTGGCCAAAACAGAAGCTATACATCTTCAGAATCTGGTCAGATGAGAGGGACGTTTCATGTTACGCTGCCCGTACTCTCCCCCCCACCCCACCCGCCCCCTTCCTCTGGCTGATGGCGGTGTTCTCTTTTTTTCCTCTTCTACCGCTTTATCAGAGCCTTGCTGACCCCAAAAACACATTTACACTCACGAGCTCAGATCCCTCCTCTTGAATTCACCTTATTGAACACGCTTACAACCTATTCATTCGGTCCCAAGACAGTTACCTGCTCTTGACCAAGGACTAGCACTCCTCCAGGTCTAATTTCATGACCAGCTGCCAGGCCGTGGCCTTCTCCCCTCAATTTCCCGCCCTGGTAGGCCTGCCAGTCGCCTCCTTTCTGGTTCCAGCTCACACATATGTGTTGCCAGTTGCCTCGAGAAAGGTTCAGAGGTAGCCGGGCCACCTAACAGGTAGCAAGCAGAAGCACATTTGAATTTAGATCCAGTGGAATTTTATAGGTTACAGGTCACATGAAAATCCCTCCTCCCATCCATCCACCTCACTCACCCACTTTTTTTTTCTCTCAGGCCTTCCTTTCATCCCTCTCTTTTCAAAATTAAATTGCAATCTGCTTTCTTGGCATAGTAGCGTTACAGAAACACAGTTGCCAAACAGTCTGTTGCTGTCAAAAACATTAGGAAGGATTACTACAGTATGATTACACGTATCACTAAATATCGATCAGCCTTTCTGTCCATTATGATTCCCATGAAATATCCTAATTGTGCTTGGAGATTTTTTTTTTTTACTTCTCTTTCAAATGAATGACTTGATTCTTGGGCTTTACGTGTTCCGATGCCTCCTTCTGTGGGCCGAAGCCAAAGGCAAAAGGTGAAGGCCCATAACTTTGGGATGGAGTGTTTCACCACCGCGTACATGTAATTAGTACGGGATGGAAAAGACAGTCTGTAGCCCTCCGGAAAGTAATTCGCTAAAACAGACAAGAACAAAAAAAAAAAAAAGATTGAGATACAGTCATTATTGATAAGAATCAGAGATCTCAAAGACAGCATCTGCAAAAGTAGCAAAATGGATAAAATATTTCTTTTTTTTTCATATTAAACATCTGTCCTGTTTTTCTCTGAGATGACATTCGATAGTCTTCCTGATCTTTTTATGCCTGACATAATTTATTTACAGCAAAGGATGTTAAAAGCTTGCTGAAACTAACACGATAACTTCATCTGACATACGCATGCAAATGCATTCTGGATTAACTGCTTTCTATTGACCTCTCTGTTCATATTTACCTTCCTCCAGTCCTGAGAGTCGGTCATGTAGCTTGTTGATTCCCTGGTCCATTTCCTGTCGGTTTCTTTCGGTTTCCAGCCTCAAGGCTTTTCTCTCTTTCTCCAACAGCTCCACCTTCCTTTCAAGCTCCCCTTCCAAGTCCTCCATTTTCCAGGGCCTTTCCGCACCCGCTTTGTGCCCAACCCAACTTTCTGGGCCAAAGGATTTCCCGCCGTCCTGCACGACTGCAGAGGTGTTGATGTCCGTCTGGGTGTGAGGAAACAGATTGATGTCGGCCTGCAGAGGAGGAAGACAAAGGTACACTTTTGAATGACACCCTAATTTTCATCCGGCTCGCATTGTCACATGAAGTGTGTCAGGTTAGCGTGAATAGCATGACACCATGTACTGGAATACCAAAAAAATATGGAAGTACAGTTCATTTCGGTTTGCCACAATTTAGTTCAATGAACCAAATTGATCGCCTATTCATTTCCACATCGTTGTGTGTAGCGGGATGGCGCAACATGTAGAAAGGGATATCATGCGATTGGTAACCTAATGAAAGGGGGCTAAAAATGGTGATGCATTACAACACGTTGCTAAACTAACAGTGCAAGATTTTTTTTATTTTTTATTTTTTTTGTGGCCTTCTTGACTTTCACGCTCTAGCAATGCCCTTTTGAATGACACCCTAGGCATGGTGTTTATAGTTTTCCTAACCAGTGTACACTTTGCTTACTGTACATGTGTTGCATAAGATGATACGAATAAAGGTCGAGCTATAGAAACATTGATTCAGTTCCCAAAGGGACAAGCATTATGTAAGAAGCGGTGCCTCTGGAATTGATGCGAGTGAACACACCATGCTCTGGTTTAAGAGGATGCACAATTCACACGAGTGTTTTTTTTTTTTGTTCTTTTTTTCTGAGGATACTGACAAAATGTCACTTACTGATTTTGCAACAAAAGCAGATACACAATTGTTATAAATCCCAGTGTAATCTTTAGTCGTTATGCACCGCTGCGTGCCTCTCATTGAAGCCAGCAGTGTTTTCACCAGGAGAAACACACACACACACACACACACACACACACACACACACAC